AGAACAAGAAAGAGAATAAGAAGAGGGACAAAGAAGAGGAGGAATGGGAAACGAAGGAGGAGGAAGAATAGGAGGAGAAGGAAAACGAGAAAAAAATAGCAATGACGACGGGCATAAACCTCAAGAGGAGGAAAATACAGACCAAACAAAACATAAAAACGGAAGCAGGAAGAGCAATGAAAGAAGAGAAAAGAGAGAAGGAAGAAGAGAAGACCATCCCTCTCCCCCCCTTCCCCTTCCTTCTCCCTCTCCCCCCCTCCCCTTCCTTCTCCCTCTCCCCCCTCCCCTTCCTTCTCCCTCTCCCCCCCTTCCTTCTTTCTCCCTTCCACCCCTCCTTCTCCCTCTCCCTCTCCCCCCCCCTCCTTCTAACCACCCACCTGTAACAACAAACACCGCTACTACAGGAAGTGTCTTGCCAAGGGAGAGAATTAATACCGCAGAGTAAATGGAGGGAGGAGGAAAATGAGGAAGAGAGGGAGGGAGGGAGGGAGGGAGGGAGGGAGGGAGGGAGAGAGGGAGGAAAATGAGGGAAGAGAGGAAGAGAGGGAGGGAGGGAGGGAGGAAAATGAGGAAGAGAGGAGAGAAAGGGAAGGAGGGAGGAGGAAGAGAGGGAGGGAGGGAGGGAGGAAAATGAGGAAGAGAGGAAGAGAGGGAGGAAGAGAGGGAGGGAGGGGAGGGAGGAAAATGAGGAAGAGAGGAAGAGAGGGAGGAAGAGAGGGAGGGAGGGAGGGAGGGAGGGAGGAAAATGAGGAAGAGAGGAAGAGAGGGAGGAAGAGAGGGAGGGAGGGAGGGAGGAAAATGAGGAGAGAGGAAGAGAGGGAGGAAGAGGAAGGAAAGGAGGGAGGAGGAAGGAAAGGAGGGAGGAGGAAAATGAGGAAGAGAGGGAGGGAGGGAGGGAGGAAAAGGAGAAAGACAGGGAGGGAGGAAAGAGAGGAAGAGAAGGGGGAAGGGAGGAAAGGGAGGAAAGTGAAGAAAAGAGGGAGAAAGGAAGAGAGGGAGAGAGGGACAGATGGAGGGGTGGAGGGAGGAAGGGGGGGTGAGGGATGGGGAGGGCAGGAGAAAAAAAATGGAAAGAGGGAAGAAAGACAGACGTACAAAACGAGACATATATAGAAAAGGGAGAGAAAGAACTACAGAGGAAGAATGAAGAAACGAAACAGAAGAAAGGAAGAGGCTAAGAAAAGAAAAAAAACGTACTGAGAAAAGAGAGGGAGGGAGACAGACGGAGAAAGAATTAGAACCAGAGAGGAAAAGGGTAAATAGTGCAAAGCGGAGATAAACGCGGAGATAGAGAGTAAGGCAAAGGAAGGGAGAAGGAAAGAGACAGACAGCGAGACAAAATTAGACAGATAGATAGAGAGATAGGCAGATAGATAGATAGACAGACAGAGAGACAGAGAGAGAGAGAGAGAGAGAGATGAGAGAGAGAGAGAGAGAGAGAGAGAGAGAGAGAGAGAGAGAGAGAGAGAGAGAGTGAGAGTGAGAGATACATACATACATACAAGCAAACAAAGAGGGAAGACCGAGAAACAGAGACAAGACAAAGAAACAGGAAAACAAAAACGAAAAAGAAGAAGAACAACAACAACAACAACAACAACGAAGACTACAATAACAACAACAAAGAAGAACAAGAAGAACAAGAACAAGAAGAAGGAAAAGAGGAGGAAGGAGGAACCAGCTTCTCAAAAAAACTCGTGACGCGCCCCGCCACTCAGTCCGCGACCTCGGTACTTAAGACGAGCGAGCCACTCCTTCAAAGACTCGCACGCACGCACGCACGCACAAACGCACATTCACACACTTACATGCAAACACACGCACATGCATGCACACACACACACACACACACACACACACACACACACACACACACACACACACACGCACGCACGCATTCACACACACACACACGCACACACACCCCCCCTCACACACACACACAACCCCCCCCACACACACACATTCACAACCCCCCCCTTCCCCCCTCACACACACATTCACAACCCCCCCCCCCCCACACACACACACACCCATTAACTTAAGTACGTGTTCCCTCGCCCGCTGAAGATCTCCTTCGGGCGCCACTAGCTAGCTGCCTGCGATTCCAACCCGCCTAGTTTATGCGAGTAAATGTTGCAAAGTGCAATAGTGGGTGACTGGTATAGGCGAGTAAATGTTGCAAAGTGCAATAGTGGGTGACTGGTATAGGCGAGTAAATGTTGCAATGTGCAATAGTATGTAACTAGTATATGTGAATAAAATTTATTGCTCTTCCACAGACAATAATAACAATAATGATGATAATAACACCTTTAAAACAAATAATAATAATAATAATAATAATAACAACGCAACACTAAAAATAACGATATCAATAATAATAATAATAATAATAATAATAATAATAACAATAATAATAATAATAACAATAATAATAATAATAATAACAACAGCAATAATAATAACAATCATAAGAAAAATCATAAGAAGAAAAAGTAATAAAAAATATTCACATGATCATAATGATAAAAGCAACATCATTAATAGCAACTGAACGAAA